GTGAATCGCTTTTGATTACAATCTAATTAATGCCGAGTTCACGTGCCAGTTCTAAACCTGCAACCATAGCTTCATACTCTGCCTCATTGCTAGTTATAGAATGACATTTAATGACCTGTCGAATAGTTTCACCCGTAGGTGGTACCAAAACAATTCCTAAGCCTGCTCCCTTCACATTAGATGAACCATCAGTAAATAAGGTCCAAATTCCTGGATTAGATCCGTTGAACACACGTAATTCTTTTTCTGCTTCTAATTGCATTCCTTGTCTAAAATCAGCCACAAAATTTGCTAATACCTGAGATTTTATCGCGTTTCTAGGCTGGTATGTGATGTCATATTCACTTAATTCTATAGCTCATTTGGCTAACCTACCTGACAACTCATGCTTGTGTAATATATTACGTAATGTATAAGCAGTTACTACAGCAATAGGGTGACATTGAAAATAAGGCCTTAGTTTTCTAGATGCCATGATTAGTGCAAGTGCAAGCTTTTCTAATTGAGGGTACCGCATCTCCACATCTAATAATGATTTGCTGACATAATAAATTGTAGATTGTTTACCTTGTTCTTCACGAACTAACACAGAACTTACCGCTACTTCGGAGACAGCAAGATAGATGAGAAATCTTTCCCCAACCTTGGGTTTTGCGAGCAACGGCGGATTTGATATGTATGTCTTCAAATTTTTGAGTGCCTGTTGACATTCCTCAGTCCATTTGAACTGATCTTGCTTTTTAAGAGCTGAAAAGAATTTAAAGTACTTTTCTGATGATTTGGAAATAAATTTCCCCAAGGCTGCAATTCTTCCTATCAACCTCTGCACTTCTTTTTTACTTGTAAGCATGTCAGGGATTTCTTTATTGGCTTTAATCTGTGCGAGATTTACTTCAATACCAAGGTTAAAACAAGAAGACTCAAAAACTTACCTGATGCAACACCGACACATTTCTCAGTATTTAATTTCATATTGAATTTTCGTAAGACCTGAAACATATCAGACAAGTGTTATATATGATCCACTGAATGTTGAGTTTTAACGAGCATATCGTCTATATAAACCTCCATAGTTTTTCCCAAATCTTGAAACATTTTGGTCACTAGTCTTTGATATGTTGCACCAGCAGTTTTGAGACCAAAAGGCATTACTTTATAACAGTAAGTCCCCCTGTCTATTATAAATGAAGTTTTTTCTTTATCTATAGGATCCATTTTGATCTGGTTGTATCCTGAATACGCATCTAAAAATCTTAACAACTCATGACCTGCAATAGCATCAATTAGTTGATCTATATGTGGTAATGGAAAAGAATCTTTAAGACAAGTTTTATTAAGGTCTGTGCCGCCAATTACAATTCTTTTTCGGTACCACAACAGTATTGGCTAACCAATTAGGATACTTTACCTCGCGAATAGACCCAATTTTCAGTAATTTTTGGACCTCATCTTGAATCACCTGATTTTTTAAAGTTCCTTGCTTTCTCTTCTTTTGTTTGATAGGTGGATATGATGGATCTTCATTTAATTTGTGAGTCATTACCTCTGGTGGTATTCCTGTCATATCAGAATGGGACCAAGAAAAATAATCCACGTTAGTTTTCAAAATTCAATCAACTTACCTTTCATGTCTTGGCTTAGATTGGCCCCTACGTAGAGTTTCCTTTCAGGCCATTGTGTAAATAACTCTATAGCCTCCAGTTCTTCAATCGTTGTTTTGATATTTTTGTTTTCCTCTAGTTCCTGAATGGAATCGGGCCTTGAGTCCACATCTATTCGCCCTTGTTTAGTTGAGGCTTGTGTTGTGGTATCCTCAACTGGATTCTGTAACTGCTATTTTTCTTCATTTCTCGTACTTGAATCTGCTACGGAGTTGATGCTCCTGGATGTCTGTTGATCCCCACGGATTTGACATATTCCCCATGGTGATGGAAATTTAATAACTTGATGTAAGGTAGACGGAACAACATCCATCTCGTGAATCCATAGTCTCCCAAGAATCATATTGTAAGCCATCTCCATCTCTACCACCTGAAACTTTGTATCTTTGACAACTCCTTCTGCGAATGTAGCAAGTATTACCTCCCCTTTCGTCACAATGCTGGAATTGTCGAATCCAGACAAAGTATGCGCCTTTGGTACTAATTTATCTTCAGCTTGCATCTCGTGTAGTACTCTTAGCAGAATAATGTTCACGGAACTACTTGGATCAATCAAAACTCGTTTTATATTAGTATCATATACAAGTAGAGATATTACCAGTGCATCGTTATGTGGAGTTAATACGCCATCCGCATCTACATCATCAAATGTAATACTTTCTTCCTCTAAGACATGTCAAACCCGCTTCCCATGGGTAATTGTGACCTTTGAAACTTTATTGGCTATTGTGTACATCACACCATTGATTTCTTCACCTCCACTTATAACATTAACGGTCCTTTTGGGAGAAGGTGGTTTAGGGGGCTCCTGCCTATTCTTCATGTATGCTTGCTTACCTTTCTCACTGAATAATTTGGTGAGATATTCTTGCTTTAACAGATGATCAACTTCACCTTGTAGCAACCTACAGTCTGTCGTTTTATGACCATGATCATTGTGAAATTCGCACCAGTGATCAGGATTGCGCCTGTTTGGATTTGATTTCATTTCTTTTGGCCACCGCACCTTATCACCCATGCTTCTTAAAACAGCTACGAGCTCGGAAGTGCTTACATTAAAATTATAACTGCCAAATCTTGCCTTCAAGTTTCTATCATCATCCCGTGACTCTCGTGTGTTTCGATCATTCCCAAATCTTGATGATGAGCCCGACTCTCTATTCCTCGATCTATGATCGTACCTTGAATTGTCCTGTTTTGATCGTGAATCTTTTCCCGCTGGGCCCATATATGGTTCGTATCTATTTTTACCGGACCTTCTTTCGGTTTCCGCCCGTCTCAAACTCACCTTTTCCTCTTTTTGAGACCGTGAGATAATATCTTCTTCTATCCTTAGCTTCGTGCTATACTTGTTGTAAACGTCATTCCACGTTGTTGTTGGAAATTCATGAAGACTTTCCTTGAGTCGCCTCGTGGCTTCTGAGCCTTTTTCATTCAAATTACTAGGGAAGGCTATAACTGCCCAATTGTCTGGTACATGCGGTAACGTCATTCTTTCACGCTAGAATCTATCCACGAACTCTCTAAGAAACTCTGAGTCCCCTTGCTTGATTTTGAAAATATCTTCCATTCTTTTTTCGACCTTTTGAGCTCCCGAATGTACTTTGATAAATGAATCTGCAAGCTCAGCAAAAGAATTTATGGAATTTTTGGGTAAAAGAGAATACCATGTTAATGCTCCCTTGGTGAGTGTTTCACCGAATTTTTTGACCAATACTGATTCAATTTCTTGTTTGGTCAAGTTGTTGCCTTTTACGCGTGTTGTGAATGCAGTCACATGGTCTCGTGGATCAGTTGTTCCATCGTATTTTGGAATATTGGGCATTTTGAATTTCTTTGAAATTGGGAGGGGGCAGCACTTGGCTTCCAAGGTTGTTGTGAATATTTATCCATATCTATCCCTTTGATTACGGGCGGTACTCCAGGTATTTGCTCTATGCAGTCACTTTGCTCCTTGAGTTGTTTCTGCAATGTTAATACTAAATTTTATAAATCAGAATTAACTAAGTTACCTGGTTCTCCATCTCGTGACTCGCTAGGGATTCCACCACTTCCTGAATTAGCAAGCCCAAAACGAGGTTTCTCCAAAGTATTGTTATTTGGAGTTGGTGTTGGTGGTCCAACAGGTAATTGGCTGACAAAGGCCTCAAGAGCTTTATTGACCTGTTGAGCGATTAGCTTTTGCAAAGCTTCATTGATAGCTTCATCATTTTCAAATTGATCATTTGCTTTTGAATGAGATCCATCATGAGTTCCTTCTCGAGACCGCCGAGAGGAGCTTTGTGGAAAAGGGATCGGGGTGCGATCATCCTGTGGATTCCCCTAGAGTTGATGATTTCCCTGGTTTCCTTGGTTTCCTTGGGTGTTGTCATTAATGTTTGACATGGTTGATGCAACAAAAAGGTTAGGGTAAGAAAGAATAGATTATCAGATTCCCGGTAACGGAACCAATTTGTTTAACCAAAAAGTGGAATTTCGGTCAAAGCTTTATTTTAGAAGAACTGGGGTTACTGATAATCAATATATAAAATGAATAAAAGAAATTGGCTTTGATAATAATAAGATAAACAGAAGCAAACAAAGTAATTCAGTATTTTTCAGTGATCTTTTATGTGTTTACAAATGATCAGTCTTCTCCTTTTTATAGTTATTTCTAAAGTATACGTTTTGCCTTTGTCATAATAAACAATTAAAGGCACTAACTACGTTACAATAGTAATCATTATAATTCAATACAGATTTTCTAACATTTTTAGTATTTAATACTTATTAAATATTGTATCCGTACTCTCTTGTACTGTCAGATTCATTCTCCTTAATTTTTGGATTCAAATAGGTACGAGCGTCGAGTCTTTTGAATATCTGCTCATGCCTCTGCTCGTATCTGTTGCGACTCGTACCTCTTTGCTAATCGTCAATCTTTGACCAGCCTTCGTGTCATGACACGTAATCTTTCAATCACTTCAATATATATAAACTCAATCTTTCACAATACAAACTCATGTGGAAACTCAGTCCAATATAATGGCAAACGAAACCTTTTGCTAGGCCTGTCCAATTTATCACCAAACACTAGAAAATCTTGCATAGACCAACTAGAGTTTTGAGGCTGGACCATCTATCTCTAACAAGCTACAAGCCTTTAATGTTTGTTTTTGAAGAACTAAACCTAAATAACCGCTCATCTAATCACTTAGATATAATATATACATAATTTATGTATTATAGTGTATAATCTATATATTTTTAAAAGAAAATAATGAACTTGACCGGCTATTTGTGTAAAGATCCTTTGTTTTACCTATCCTATTTTTAAGACCCATGAGGTACTTTGAAATGTAAAATATTTAATTTGTACATAGTTTAGTGAACAAGTCAGATGTTGTTTCTTGTATGTCTTCTGCTTCTTCCATGTCTTCCGCCTTTTCCGTCTTCTTCTGTAAAACCTCTATGGGACTTGTAGCTTTCTTCCTCACTATTTCACCACCAGATTCTCCCGTTTTCTCCTGCTTTTGTAAAACCGCAATGGAATATTTGTAGCTTTCACTACTAGAAATTGGGCCTATGGGAACAGTTTGTTGGCAACGGTTGATATAACTGTTGCTATAGATGGTCTATTACAACATTTATAATCGTTGCATAGGGTATGGATCCTGTTGAGACACTTTTGTAAGTAAACCGTTGTAGTAGTGTTAGAATCGTTCCATTAGTCTTTTCTATAGCCACGGTTTTCATAACCATCACAATAGGTATATCTATGGAAACGGTTATCTTAAAATAAAATCTATTGGGACGGTTCAGATTCCCTCCTTATTTTCCCTTTCTATTTTTCTCAAATCCCTAACCTTTTGAGTGGAGTTTTATTTTAGTTGCTAATATTTCTAAGCCTGATGAGAGACAAAGTAGTACTCTAAGACCTTTTGTTGCCAAGTTCAAATCGATAGTTGAATAAAAAATATAGCATCTTGATATAACACTCCTAAAGAAGACTCCATCGTTTTGAAGCGATAATATGGAGGTCTATTCTGCCTATGGAGGTCGCGAATCTGGACTTCTAAAGAACATAGCTTTTTCTTCTATAGCTAGGTCCCATTTCGCTGGTAAAGGTCGCCGATCTGGGCTGCTAAAAGAACTCATTGTTTTCTTGCACAACTAAGTCTATTATCGAGCAAAGCCAACCCCATTTCACATTTAGTTCTTTTCGGGTTAGTGATTTTCATATGTACTGCAGTTTTCTTTTTGGGGGTTTGGGGGTTTCTTCTAATTTGTTCAATTTTATCTCATCTAAATAGTTAGTAGACTTGCTGGATTATCTCTTCCTACTCTGTGTGTAAAATGATTTTGAATACCCAATTTTCTATTAGCGAGTTGTTTGCTTGGTTGTATACTAAAATTGTGCTTACTCAAATTTGTCATGTATATTAACTATTCGACGAAATGCCGACCCATTAGCAATGGTTACTCAAATCTTATTTTTTGCTTGAATGTATCTCAATTTACAAATATTGATATGTAAGCCTGAATGCAATCTTGATGCCTCTGTTCTCTTTATATGTTAATCTATTAGGAAGAAGAGATATTGACGAATATTAAGCTTTAGTGACCTTATTTCATTCATGGTTGACCAAATAAGATATTATTAGTTATAGTTCATTTGGAAGTTGTACTCTTTTTAGTCTTTGAATTATCTAATTTGTGGCTATATCATCTTTTCATTCGGAAAAAAACACAAAAGTAATTCCTTTTTTGGAAATGGAATATGTCATTAGTCATTTAGAAATAGAAATTAGAATTGCATATTACAATTGCTACTGAAAGTTTAAAGATTTGTCAAAGTTGAAGTTTACTTTGATGTTTTTTTAAACTTTGAAAGATTAAAAAATTTACACTTGTTATGAGTATATGACAAAGAGAAAAGATGAGTTCTATCTATTGGGGTAATGTCTAATAGTTTAACTTTATTTTTCTCAGATTTGAACAAGGAGGCTTGAAATGGTCCTTTTTCTGTTAAAGTGGTGTGATTTACCTTTTCACTTCATTCATATAAGTTTGATTGAGCTTAGATATCTTCTCAATCATATTTGGTTTTCTGATTTATAATCGATTTGCTTGGAATCATAGGGATTTGCTTGTTCCTAAATCCTAGTTACAGTTACATACAGCCTAATAGAAAGTAATACGGAAAGGAGCATTTTGTGGACATTATGGCCGGGGACTTATGGTAAATTTAAAAAGTCTTGTTTCTAACTTGTAGTTTATTGTATATTTTAGTGTACAACATCATTGGCAATAGTGGAATCAAATGCTATCGAATTTGTGCTAAGGCTTTTTGGTAGCAAACGGGCACAACCAGTAGTGCAAGAATCTGCTGCGAAGGGCATTTTACAGAGGTTACCTGCTGGACATTTGCATAGTTTTAGATTCAAGATTATCTCGAAGGTACTATACTACTATCTCCTTTGTTTTTCTAATTTTAGGTCTATCTCATTGTCCCTTTTTTTTATGGAATTGGTAATTTGTAGTTTCTGTTTAAGGTTCACTACTTCTATTGATTTAATTAATATATAAATGCTTAAGATCGCTAAAAATATCATTCTTGAAGAACTAGTTGATTGTTTTGGTTATAACACAAATAGAATCTGTATGTGTTCTTCACTGTGGATCTTAATGTGTTGTCCTCGTTGTGAAGTGAAGGAAATTTATGGTTGATTTATATTGTTTTGCATGAATTGTAGTTGTTCATTAATAAGTTCAAAATTACCAGTCACTGCTTTGCAAAGTCTCCGGGCCTTCAGCTTAAAACTTGAACAAAAACTTCCACTTACATATTTTCAGAAATATCCTTGAAAGCTCGGGAGCAAAATCATTCAGAGTAGAAAAGGTCATTAAAAGTAAAAATCTAGACCTTTAAGAGCACCACTACATCCAATATTTTCCGTGAATCCTCAAGCAAATACAGTTCATGAAGCTGAAAAATTGATTGTTTAACACACCATGTTGTAAACTCATCTATGAAAACTCATATTTTCATCAGAAGCCACAAAAAAGGCTGGAACACATCATTTCCCGCTTATTTTAACTTTGATTGTTATCTTTACATATTTATCGTAGTTTCTCGATACTACGCATTAAAAAAATTTAGGCGGAATTGTCTAGTTTGTAAGTTCATCTCTAGGAACCTTCCGTTGACATCTTTGATACTATTTAAAAATTACTAAACTGAATTTCCTACTTTCCTATACTTATTAATTTAACTTGATATTGAACCCTCAGAAATCATGAAAAGTACCTATATGCCTATCATGATAATGAAGAAATATAGTACCACACGGTAGTGCTATAATTTCCCTCATATTTCTTCTTTAACTTTAGGTTCAGGAAAAATATATTGTGCAGAATTAACTTACATCTAAATGTATAGTACTGATAAGTTAAAATTTTCAGCGAAAGCTAATAGCAGGTAGTGATCCATAGGGTATTACAATTTTATAGAACCATACTTTACAAATTAGAGGGAATAATTTTGTTGTTTTTGCCTACTATATTATCTAGCAAGTGAAATCAAAGAATTCTAACAGGGAAATTGAATTCAACTCTTTGCAACGCTTTTATTCTAAATTTGTGATAAGAATATGCTAAATTTAATCGCTAGAAATTACTTATTGAGACTAATTGATGGATATGAATATGCGAAATTGGATATGAAACTAACCATGTGAGTTTGTTAGGTTTTGATTTTGTGTTTGAAACCATGAGGTTTTCCTTGTTCGATCTTTGCTATCGATATTCGATGTCGCTGTCTTGGTTATTCTGAAAATCATTTCGCTGCTCCTTTTTTCTTTCTCTAGTAATATTTTTGATAAACACATTCTTTTACTTCTGTCCGATTATGCTTGTGCTGCTTTCACTTAAAATGAAAGGATCTATGGATAGAAGACATGGAAGCACCTAATACGATGAACTTATAAGTTTGTATTTATGGTCCAATTGAAATCAGAGTTGCGGCTCGTGGCTGCTGTTTTTCCCCTTCTTCTTCTACTTCACTACTACTAGTTTTTTGCGTCTTTCACTTGCTTGTTGTTGTTGTTGCTGCTGTTTTTCCTTCTTTTACAGCTTTTTATTTGTCGAAAAAGCCGTGCATACTTAGCTCGTTGCTGCTGTTTTACCCCTTCGTTTTCTACTTCATTGCTGCTATGTTTTGCGTCTTTCACTTGCTTGTTGCTGTTGCTGCTGTTTTTCCTTCTTTTACCCAATTATAGCTTAGGTACTCCATCATATTTCTTATTACAGGAAAGTGTTTAGGACGTTAGATCATCATGATCTATTTAGTATCATAAATATTAAACAAATCTGGACATCATTAAGTGAAAACAAATTTGCTTGGAATAAAAATGTTTCCAGACCAACGATACTCTGCAAGTTCAATATAGTTGCTGAACCAACTCCAATTCTAAATGATCAAAGAAAACTTCACTTGTTATAACTTCTTATAGAATAATGATGTTTTAAGCAGATTAAAATTTTTGGGATAGTCGTATTTACAAAGGAAACTCTGCCGAAAATTCTAGGAATTTAGAGAGTTAGAAAATTTGTCATTCAATTATCTTAAAAAAATTATTTAATTATTTCTGATTGTCTTTTGTAGGTGCAACGATTGCGGATGAAAGCAGTGAAGAAGACCTTACTTGAAAGTACTATTATCGTGTTCAATATTTTATTTTATAACTTTTTGTATGCAAACTCATCTATTTTGACTTTTGAATTGTTGATCAAACAATGTATTCATATTTTGTTTTTGTATATGGATAAAGCTAGTTGAATATTTTTATTTTATTTCGTGGTTTATATAATTTATGGTATATTAAATTACATTGCATAGGAATATATTCCTCATTTTGCTTCAATAAATATCAAAAACGATAATTGTGAATTGTTGCAATAGAGAATATAACCGTTCCAATAGACCTAAAATAATAACAGGAGCCCCTAATAACTGTTGCAATATGTTGCAATAGCCGTTGCAATAGGATAATGATAATTGTTGGAATATATCACAAAACCGTTGCAATATACATGAAAACCGTCGCAATAGACTAAGAAAATCTCTAGTATAATGATACCACAACGGTTTATAACTGTCCCAATAAAACCGAAAATCGTTCCCAAAGATGGAACAATGGTAGTAGTTCCATAACCGTTACAATATCCCTCTATGGAGTTGGTTTTGAAACCGTTACAAATAATCGTTCCAAGTGACCTATTGTCACGCCAGATCCCGGAACGGTTCCGAATCCGTCTCAGTATCCCTATAGGGCGGTTAATGTATCTATTGCCACGATTTTGAAAGGGTTTCCATAGGCTTAGTTTCTAGTAGTGTTTCTTTCTCACTATTCACCATAAGATTCGAACTACCAAACACTATAGAAACTACTTGAAACCAATCGTGAGCTCCACCATGAAACCACCTAAAAATACCGCGGTCCATCTCCAAAACCAAAACTGAACCACCAAACACTATCCATCCACCACCCAATCCTAGCTCTAACGGTTATGAAGTTTTGCACTATATCGTTTGAAGTGGTGTCTGGAGTGTAGTTGAAATTCAGATTCGATTTTGAAGTTACATTGAAGTGATAGAAGAAATTCAGACCCCAATTTTCTGAAATTGTATTAAAGTGATAGAAGCATTTTTTATCTAATTCTGAAGTTACACTTTGAAGCGATAGAAGAACTTCATATATATCTGATTTTTTGAAGTTGCATTGAAGCAATAAAAGAACTTTAGATTCGCTTCTTGAAATTGCATATTGAAGCAATAGAAGAACTTCTAATCTTATAAAACCCTAAATTTGTAACTTCATACATGAATTCTAAATTGTATTCCGAAGTTGTTTTACAAATTTTTATACAGTGCGCGTAAGACATTAATGATGGCCCTAAAATCGGGTATATCGCCACTTCTCCCTTTAAAATGATTATAACAAGAAGAACTTTATTGCACCAATTACCGTAAGTTTTTTTAATACTGCGAGTTTAATATGCATCGGTTTACACTAATGGAACAAGTAGGGGTAGGGTGGGCTAGGAAAAAGAGAAAATGTATGTCTTATACTATCTGAAATAAGGAGGCTACTAGAGAAAATTGAAAAAAGTGTCACAAAATTATGCATAATAAATTGGAAAATCATATAAAGATATATAGAACTTGCTCACCAGTAATCTTTGTTACACTTCCATGTCAATGATATTCCAAATTACTGGAATCTGTAGCTTTTTTCATAGCAGTAACATGGTTATTAACTAAAATGCAGAAGTATAGTGAAAGGAATTTCAAATTTCAAGGCTAAACACCAATAAGTGAACAGCAGCTAAAGAGACCATTTTCACTCAACTAAGATGACTGCTTCACGGTTTGTTGTACTTTCCAAAAAGATGAGTAAGCCCTCCTCTCCAACCCCATTTTCACTTATTACCGAAAATTACGTACCTAGGGATTTTTACCTTCCTATACCCTCCCTAATCAAGTTTTAATTTAATTATATGGTCATATATAATTTACCAATTATATACAAATTAGTTTTAAATGAATATTCCTTTAAATTAGGAATTGAATAAGGAATCAGTTATTTCTCACCTTTGTTCTCTCTGTCCTTCTCTCTCTCTCATGCGTCCTCTCTCTCTCTCTCCGTCTCTCTTTATCTCTCTATCTCTAATTCTCTGTTCTTTCCCCAATTTTTCTTTCCTCTAATGTTCTCTACTTTTTATCCTTTCATATTGTATATATTTTTAATGGAATTCAGCAATGGATTTCAATCGTTTTACTATAGGGTTTTAACTTAGCAATTTCCTTTCATGTTGCACAATTGGTGTTCATATTAAAATTATCAAACAATAAATTTTGAAGGTGTTTGACTCTCCACCATTGACACCCATTAAAAAGCTTGAAGCTTTGAATTCGAATTTTTGTTTTCAAAACCATTATTTGTTTGAATTGGGTGTTATTTCAAACAATTGTGAATATTATTTGGAGTTTATATCTCAATTTTAAGGGTATTTGGTGAAGATTACACTTGATTTTTGGCTGAATTTCAAGTTTAAACTCGAATAAATAGAAGAATAACATATGACATACAATATACTTACGAAATTGTAGTAAAGTTATATTATAATTATATGTAATGTATTCTGTTCTAGTTATATTTTTTTTTATTTGAATGTTGTATGAAAGTTGAAAAATAATTGTATAATATATGAATCGTTGTATAAAATTTGTATTTAAGTTATCAATAATATTTTTTTTACATAAAGTTGTATGTATCAAAATTGGAGTAAGAGAGAAAGTTTTGATTGGAATTTTAGAGAACAAGAAGCAGACACCACATACAAAATATATACAAATCAGATACAAAATATACAAAAGACATATTGTATAAAAATTTTATGAAAATTGTATTTAAGTTATATGATGTTACAGTTGTATTTAACTGGGTATAAATAATGTATGAAAGTTGTAGATAAGTTGTAAATAAGTTGTATACTATATAATTAGTTGTATGAAATTTATTTTTACTATGTATGTTGTTGTAGATATTCAAATTTTATTAAATTTGTACGAAATTTATTTTTAATTTGTATGTTGATGTACCATACATTGTTCTTTTCTCAGTTGATTTATTAAGGAAAGAAAAGTAGAGAATAAATTCCAAATCGACTCATGTACACTGATTCATATTTGTTTGAACGGAAAAACTTGAATATTGATGGGAACTGAATGATTTGGGTGGAGAAATTTCGTGTTTCACATTAAAAGTGCCATCGTCACGCTTCGAAAAAACAGAGTTTTATGTGAGATTTGAATTTGTGTGAGGAATTAATTGGGTAGCATAGATTCTTATTGGAAATACTAATACAAAGTTGAATTCGAAATTTGGAGGCGATTGGATTTTATTTAAAATCTGCTAAAACTTCGAATCTGCTCAATACGCTTTTTGATTCAACTACGATTGGTGTTGTAGTTTGATAATGTTGTTAAGAAATTGTTCAGTAAAAGAAGAGTAAAGCAATCGTAGAGATGGAAACAAGGATAAATTTTGGCAATAATTGCATTCAAAACTGTTGTCATATTATAGCGTATCTTTTTTTTGTAACTGAAATTCCGTTTGTTATGATTTAAAATAGGTAATACAAAATTGGAAGGAGTCTTTTTTTAAAAAAGCAAAACATGAGAAAAGATATTATAAATCAATAGTATTCTCTTATGTTGCACTTAATATCTGTAGAAATTACAGCCAAGGGGAGTTGTAAATGAGAATGACTACAGATTTAACTTGATGATATTTATAAAGTCCTTACGTTCCCAAATCCCTTTCAAAGCCGCTGCTTTTGTATCCTCCAGATGGACAATCCGGATCGAAAGCAAAGTAACAGTTTATCCAGATAACTCCAGCTCGAATCGATCTTTAAACTATGCTGGCAATGTTCAAGTTATTTGTCATGGAAGGAGTCTTATTAAAAGAGTAATGAAGAGAAAATAGGAAAAAGATGTAACTAAATCATCTAATTTAAGGCACTAATAATGTATTGTATATAATTTGTAAGTAATCCTTATTTACGGCGGGTAATATATAAAATTAGGACAATTTGAGTAAAGAAGTTTTAACTATTGTATAGGAAGGAAAAAAATTCCTGTATAAATTTACCGAAAAAGGATCAAAACTACCCCTAACTTTTTGGATTTAGTATAAAAATGCCTTCCGTCTGCCCATTGAGTCAAAAATACCTCCGCTGTTTTCTTTTGGCCAAAAAAGGCCTTATAAACTAACAGATCATTTAAGACAAAATGAAAGAAGACCAAAACTGCCCCTGATTTATTGGATTTGATTAATAATATCCTTTGTTTATCACATATCAAATATGACCCACCAATCTCTAAAGATCCAATCTTATAAAATTACAATGTAGATGATAACATTTATTGTTGTTAAGCCTGGGGAACTATCTTCCAAGAGACAAAACTGTAGAAATGGTGATACTATATTTAAATTATAGTATAAGTTAACACTTCTATACTGTATTTAACAATTGACTCCTTACTAAAAGCTCTTGGGTTCAATATTTAGAGAGGTAGAAATTGAATTTCTTAGTATAAGATAACACTACATGGGGTTTAAGTTATATATGCAAAAAGTTTCAATTTTCTTACACTATCAGTTTTTAACCTAGGAAAAAATGACCTCATAGTAGTAACGATACAGTTATTGACAAGTGAATCGATTTGATCTCAAAATGATAAATAAATTAAACAAGAATGTAAGACTTAGTGTTAAAATCGAGATAAGACAACAGAAATTCTGGTTCCGGGAGCAGAGTTTCCAAAGGCAGTAGTAACGATATTAATAAGCAAGAAGATACAATATTATTGAGCTTTGAACAGTATATAGCATAAGCTTGTTAGAAAATTATCCCTCTTACAATGGTTGTTGAACTCACTATTTATAGTTGTTCCTAGGGAACAAGGTCCTAGGATCAAGCCTCTCTTAAATGATAATTATTGGGGTCATTGAAGAACATGTAACAATAGGCAATGAATGTCATATTCTCTGTAACGGACAATGTACTTATGCTATAGAATATTCTCCACTAAATGTTACCGGTTAACATGCACTTATTTTGTATTTATGAACAGTATTCCCTTCGGGATCAAATGAGATTGCTGCCTTCAGACCTGATTACCATTTGCCTCGCTTTCCATCTGCCTCCGTCTCCACGTGTCGCATTATTATGCGAGCATTTAATATGAATATATTTTACCATATATAGATAGTCCTCCTACT